CCCCCCTTCCCAGAAAATCCTTGCCTGGCTATTATTCCCATCTGGCAAAATTACCCTGGTCTGTCTAAGGTGTCAAAACAGCTTCGCAAAAATTTTGGTAAATAAATACTGCCTATTTCAAAACATCCTCAGAAATACCGTATGAAAAACTAGTTACATATTAAGTTCTTTGAATGTTTGCATGGCGATAAAATATAATTGGTTTTGTTTGTGGAAACACCACGTAAATCAATTTACGTGGTGTTTCCACAAACAAAACCAATTATAGTTACATATTATTCTGACATTGCAGAGTACAACAAAATTCATTGTCTCGAACGAATTCGAATCCCGCTTGAGACAACAAACTTTCGTTGTACTCTGCAGTGTCTTGCTGTACTGGTTATTACTATATTCAGCTAGCATATTAAAATGCAAGACAGGTCATTTTGTTAAAAATGTTAGTTATAAATTAAGCAACAAGCAATACTTAATTTGTGTGTTCACAAATAATTTTTAAAAATAATTACTAGTAACAAGGCCACCAATGTTCACAAAAAAAACCCCGTTTAACCTTTATGTAAACGTTTCTCATATCTGCGCGTACCCAAGGAAGTCTAAGTAAAATCTAAACTGATTTAAATATTACTTACAATAGGAAACAATTGAATGAATAAGACCGAAAGGCCGAAATATATGTGTCGTGTTTTCATGTGAACTGTCAAAACATTCAGAAATGCGATTACATTCCTAGGCTACGCCCGTGCGCCAATTACTGGCATTTTGACAAACTGCAAACCATTTTACTTTTAGGTGTAAAGTAAACATCCGGTTTGTAGTATTTAGCCGCCCTTAATATTAACCGTGATTGATTACAGCATAAATTGGGATTGTATGACTGCAACCTGACTACAAAACAAAAATCAAAGCCTCTTCAAAACAAATAAACTGCAGACAAACAAACTAAAAGCAAAAACAGCGCGTTCGGCTCTCTCATATTCATGTTTGTTATGTTTATGCAATATATTTCCAAAATTTTCACTTTGCATTTTCCAGTTTGCCAAGCAATTTCGCTTCGCAAAATGTACAGATGCTTCGCAAATTGCGAAGTGCGAGCCCTGACATACTTAGCACTTCAGTTGCTTTTACAGTAGAAATATTTCTTATTGTACTGTTTTTGTTTGACAAACTAGATGATGATATGAATTTTGATGATTTTTCGTCAATGAAGAAAAAAAAGAAGAAAAAGAAAAAGAAGGGTTTTGAAGATGGACAAGAAAATACAGAGGTACTTTCTTATTCACCGTACTGGCTGTTTTGCTCTTGAAAAAATACTGAAAATCATTATAAAAATAACACCAGGGTTCAAAATAACGATTCGTGATTTATGAATCAAATTGTGATTTTCACAAACCGAGTTTCGGAAAATTCATAAAAAAAACACAAACCAACATTTTGTTATTAATTAATTTTAAACAAATCATCCTAGATATGTTTTTCTTTTTATATGTCTGGCAAAGATGTTCTTGCAATTACTGTAATTAAACAATGATGTAGTGGTATTAAAAATTTGCATTGAGAATTTGACATGCCAATTTCACTGCAAAATATTTTTGCCTTCAGCAAAACATACAGTATGTTAGGTTTACAATAATATCTTTATAATGAAACTCTGTAAAACCGCGTAGTTTTGAAAATGGGCGTAACAGTCCATAGATCGATTTTCATATTTTTTACTGGGGTGGTGCCAGAAATTTTAAGGGGGTGAGCCGTGAGCAGGTGACTGAAGCAACACAAAGTGTCACCAAACCCCAGTAAGGTCTATATTCTAGGGGTGGAGCACTAGAGCCGCGAGTGGGAATCTAGAGAGCCGAAAACAAAGTATCCCTGGAAAATTTTGAAAACTAATCATGATTTCTAGCTTCGAAAAAACGTTTTTTGAAGTTGTCATATCAATGGATTTGGCCTGTCCGATTGTCTGTTGAGACTTGAGAGAGTTAAATTAAATGAACGTGTAAAAGTGTAAACGCAATAGGCCAATACACAATATGCTTTTACTTTAATTTATAAAATCATTGACATTGTGTCGTTTGAATCCGAGTACAATTTATGATGCAACTCCGATGCAAATAATATTTGGGACGTAAAGATTAAATCTATAGGCAAGACTATTTCCTAAAAGAATTAAAAACTAAAAATAATGTTCGTAAAATTTCCAAACGTTCCTTGCAAGCAAGCTATTTGCATGACAAGGCACTGCAAACTCTGTTCAGGGGAGATAATAGAGTTTCAAAACTTTACAATTGGTCTTTTTCTATTTGAGTGTACTCCTACATTTATTTTGTATCATCATCAACACTCTCCACGTTGGAGTGGACTATTTAATTATTCTTTACTATGCCGAATATTGGGGGGGTTGAAAATTTTTTTGGAGGGGTGGACATTTTGTTTGGGGGGGGGGGGTTATAGCTAATATTGGGCGGGGGTAGCACCCCCCACAAAATCCGTCTATGTGTAACACAATCTCAAATTACAAATTCAAGGATACAAAATTTTACGTGCTGTAGACACACAGAACACGATTTGAAGTTTATAAGAAAGTGTGATTTTTCGATATTGATTGACCCTGTACCTGGTAACAGATAACTTTGCTTCATGGTTTACGGTTTTCAAAGATTTAGAATTTTAAAATTTCCTTTCATAGTATATTTTGAAAAGCTGTTTCACATTGCAGTAATAGATTTACGTGGCGTTTCCACAAACAAAAAGTATTATATGTTTTATCACCATGCAAACCTACAAAGAACTTAATTGTAGTTTTGAAAAACACACGCCACTGAAAAACACACTTGTGATGTGGGTTTCCTGAGTAAATATAATTAGTATTGTTTGCTAATGGACCAATCCCCAATTAACAAGAACTCAACAAGTCTAGACAAAAATTTCATCACAGCTTGAAAGAGCATCACAAAATTAGTAATATTCCAAAGTTTTGTTGTGAAATGTTGTAAAATGCAGATAACATGGGCGTACCGGCGGGGGGCTGCCGCCCCCCCCCCCCCAGTTTGTTGGGCAGTCGGGCAATATTCGCTGAACAGTCGGGCAATTTTGGTGTATTAAAAAAAGAAATGAGACAAATTCTGTAAATTTTGTGGTCAATTTTGTGATGTTTCCAAAATTTTTGTTAGGTTCCGGAAAATTTTTTAGTTGGGCAAAATCCGAAAAAGTCGGGCAAATTTCTCTCCGCCCCCCTAATTTTTTCCTTCCGGTACGCCCATGGCGGATAATATAGCCTTGTGAAGTTTGTAATTTTCAGTCATTTTGTATTATGCACGGAAGTGGTAACCATTTCCCGTTTGTAATACAAAATGACTGAAAATTTGCAAGGATCTCTATATTATCCGCATTTTACAACTTTTCGCAACGAAACTTTGGAATATTGCTAATTTTGTGATGCTCTTTCAAGCTGTGATGAAAATTTGTTTTATCTATGCATGGGATTGGTCCATTGGGGTAGACCAGCTGCGCACCACACATACACAGTTATTGGATAAGGTTTTGTGATATCCTAAATTATCAAGGCCAAGGTAAGTCATATCAGTCAAGCCAAAGTCAGACTGATAACACTTATCAAAACATTGATAATTCTGTATATCCCAAAAACCGAATTCATGTACATGTTTGTCACTGATACACAGAGGCTTTTTGTGTAGGAAGGAACAAAGGAAGCCGTGGAAAATAATGACGAGAATGGAGTGAAAGAAGATCAAATTGATGATGATGGGACAGACTTTTCATTACCAATGAAGAAGAAGAAAAAAAGAAGGCCCCAGGTATGTTCACCTAAGGAGTTTACAGTGACAGAGTTATAACATATTTTCCATTTTATAATTGGAACCCACAAAAAATGTGGCTGCAGAATAGTTGAATAGTTTTGTTTTCATGCTTGCATTTTCATGCTTGCCATTCTTTCTTCCGAAATTAGTTTCAACCAAGGTGTTCATTCACTGCCATGCACCTTATAGAATACTTTAAGAATAACAGTTTTTCAAAGTATAAATATGATAGCATGTATTCTCTTCGAGAAATTAAATGTTAAAAATTTGTTTGCGCCACAGTAGATTTAGAAACCTAGTCTCATTTTGGTGTTTTTGCTACATTTCAAAGGGTAGAATTTGCGTGGATTGTTTTTAATATCCGGGGCTCAAAATAACGGCTGGTCACCGGTCAATGTCCTGGCCAAATTTTTAATATGATCAGTCAAATTTGTATGACGCCGGTCATAGTGACCGACCAGTTTCCAGGGTGCGATAATTCAATATTTTTAGCCGTACCGGACTGGTACTCCAACAATTTTTGCCGAGTACTTGAGCTGGTACAAACTTACAAGTCAAGGTGTACCTATAGGCTACTTCCGAGTCTTATAATGCATGCACGCGGACTTTGACGGGAAAAATTAAACCTTACTGAATTTATATATTTACGTAATTTAAATACGTTTACTAGTACGCAATATATCGCACATAAAACTAAATGCTCCACATTTATTCATTTGGTTAGTTCATGATTAAACATTTTAATGGATTTGCTAATAACAGGAAATAAAAGTTAACATTTCCAACAGCCTAAAGCGTTTAGATCACATTGAATGGTTTAAATTACTGGTTTAAAAGCAAAAATTATGGACAACTTTGTAGAAACAAATCTTTAATGGTATTTGTACGACATAACATAACATAACATAACAGTTTTCAAAGCGTTGTTGCGACTCGAATGCCATCGCCAGTTACAGTAGATTTACCGAGTGTGCTAACAGCCTAACCTCGTCATTCGGGAATTGGTGAATCCTTCACTCTAATTGATACCACTCTAATTGATAACGCCAAAGTTAACAACCTTGTTCGATCCCAAAATATGTCGGATATGTGGAATTTACATGTACAGCTAAAGTTATTGACGGTTTTGAATATCTTGTGGAAGGTTTGATAGTTATTGCTAGAAGGAAAGTGTAAGTACGCGAATAGCAAATTCCCGTGTATACCTACGTGGTACTCGGCTAAAAACAAAGAAGTACCAGACCATAATTTAGGCGTACCTCCGGTACTTTGGTACGCGAATTATCGCACCCTGGGCCCCCGACTACATTTTGGCTCTGGGAACGAGATTGATTTTTGTGCTGTTGTGGGCTGACCCGTTAAATAGTATGCAAGGATTTTCTTCCTATTAAACTTTTCATTCGAATTTAAGTTGTTGAATTTCTTATGCCAACTGCTGGTCAGATAACTTATAATAGATCAAATTAAGATACGATGACGTTCATATTTAAAACTTTAATTGTGTTATAGTTATACTGCGTGCATCTCGGCATCAACAGAATCGACAGTCACAATCGACAGTCAGACTGTTTGTCATAGATACTTTTCACTGAGAGTAAATTTCCATTTGGTGAAAAATGCCTGACATTGTATATGCTGTTTAAATATATGTACATGCAGTTTGTATAATAATATTTTAATATTTTATAGGCAAAAGAAAATGAAATTGAGCCAGGTATTTCGCAGTTAAATTACTGGTCCTTTTAGGATCTTGAAATTAGGATTTTGTTAGAATTTTAATGCCCATAACTTTTTTTTTACACATACTGTAATAACATTTGGCAAAACGAGCATCTCACTTAGTTATTGTCTGTCTTGTGCGTCGTAAAACACACATGAACTTCGGTGAAATGATTTTCTCATTTTTGCCAGCAAAGAATGTTATAAAAATACAGGGGGCTGAAACGTTATGTAACACCTGTGTGCATGTCATGAGGTAGAGTTTGGTCGTGAAATCAGAAGCAAACAAGTTTTAGGCCTAATATATATACAGTACAGTATGTTATGAATGTGTCATTATTATAAATTAAAATTATATACAATAATGTAATTGTAGATGAGCAGGAAAAAGAAGGATCTCAACCAGATTACGCTGACAGGGAATACACATACGAAGAGGTAGGCTATGTCACATCTTGTTGCACAGGCAATTTTATTAATACCATACAAATTCTTTTGATTGATCTGTGAAAACGTATAGGGTGTGTATAGTTGCAAATGAGTATTTGAAAAAACTGAGAAATCAAGACATGATGGCCCATTAATTATTGTAGTCGACTGACTCAGCTCAGGCTTTTATAACTTCGTACACTTTCTCAAGGACAAAGTGATATTTACCCATACCATAACTGGGAGTTTTGACTTTTTAACTTTAATTAACTAGAAATACATGCATGCAATAACCCCTCGCCTGTTTTCAAAAGATGTATACTCAGTGCCGTTGCGAGCACTTCGTCTCAGGGGGTGTGTGAGGTTAGATAGAGGGGGGTAGGGGGGTGACCAAAATGTTTCCAGATATACAAAAAATTTTCAGGACATATAATAATTTTTCCAAAAATACAGTTGTTTTCCAAATTCACTTTCTCATGTCCTGAGAATTACCTGAATTCTCCTGAAAATCTTCTGCAAATCTACTTAATTTTACCTAACAGTGCACTGGAAATCTACCTGAAATTCCTTATGAGCAATTATCAGGGGTGTTGCACCCCCCCCCCCCAGTGAGTTCCAAGCAAACACTCTGTGATTTATTGTTCCTGTATTTCACCTCCCAAAATATTGTGCATCATACTATACAGCATTTTGCTGTTGTCATGCTCTAGCATGGTTCAAATTTATGAATTTTTATTATATAAAGTATAGTGTTTTACAGAGATTTCAAGCACTGATAAAAATGATAATCTCACATGTGAAATTATTCATGATAATCTCACATGTGAAAATTATCGCCTTTCCAATTATCGCTTTTCTGTAAAAATAATCGCTTTTCATTTAAGACTGTCCTTTATATAATAAACAGAAAAATACATGGGTGGTTGGAAATACCAGATTTATTTTTCGTGTTGAACATGACATCTCACTCGTTCGCTGCGCCCACTTGTTCGCTGCACACTCATGATCAACACTCGAAATAAATCTGGTATTTCATGCACCCATGTATTATTCTCTATTTAAACTACAACTTGACTGGTTTAAATTATTATCAAGTTATCAGGGATTGTAAAAGTTGCAGATAGAAGTGCTTTGTTTTATATTATTATCAAGTTATCAGTGATCGCAAAACCTATATTTATAAAATATATATCTATAATCAGGTGTGCGTGTTGTGATAAGGTGGACTTCAATAATTTGGATTCTTGTACTTCACTTGTTGGAATTAATATTAGAATGTTAGGGTTTGTAATCCAAGTGAGCATAATTATACACATTTTAAGACCTAACCAGGAACGACTGCGAAAAATGCAGCACAAGGTCCTCTTGTAGGAATTGAACCTACGGCCCTGCGATTCCGGTGCAGCGCTCTAACCAACTGAGCTATATAGAGGCCATCTGTTGAGCTGTAACCGTAAGTTCATGTATATTTAGGTAATCGGGTGTGCGGGTTGTGATAAGGCGGACTTCAATAATTTGGATTCTTGCACTTCACTTGTTGGAATTAATATTAGAATGTTAGGGTTTGTAATCCAAGTGAGAATATATACATTTTAAGACCTAACCAGGAACGACTGCGAAAAATGCAGCACAAGGTCCTCTGGTAGGAATTGAACCTACAGCCCTGCGATTCCGGTGCAGCGCTCTAACCAACTGAGCTACAGAGGCCAGCTGTTGAGCTTTAACTGTAAGTTCATGTATATTTAGGTAATCGGGTGTGCGGGTTGTGATAAGGTGGACTTCGATAATTTGGACTTCGATAATTTGGATTCTTGCACTTCACTTGTTGGAATTAATATTAGAATGTTAGGGTTTGTAATCCAAGTGAGAATATATACATTTTAAGACCTAACCAGGAACGACTGCGAAAAATGCAGCACAAGGTCCTCTGGTAGGAATTGAACCTACGGCCCTGCGATTCCGGTGCAGCGCTCTAACCAACTGAGCTACAGAGGCCAGCTGTTGAGCTTTAACCGTAAGTTCATGTATATTTAGGTAATCGGGTGTGCGGGTTGTGATAAGGTGGACTTCAATAATTTGGATTCTTGCACTTCACTTGTTGGAATTAATATTAGAATGTTAGGGTTTGTAATCCAAGTGAGAATATATACATTTTAAGACCTAACCAGGAACGACTGCAAAAAATGCAGCACAAGGTCCTCTGGTAGGAATTGAACCTACGGCCCTGCGATTCCGGTGCAGCGCTCTAACCAACTGAGCTACAGAGGCCAGCTGTTGAGCTTTAACCGTAAGTTCATGTATATTTAGGTAATCGGGTGTGCGGGTTGTGATAAGGTGGACTTCAATAATTTGGATTCTTGCACTTCACTTGTTGGAATTAATATTAGAATGTTAGGGTTTGTAATCCAAGTGAGAATATATACATTTTAAGACCTAACCAGGAACGACTGCAAAAAATGCAGCACAAGGTCCTCTGGTAGGAATTGAACCTACGGCCCTGTAATTCCGGTGCAGCGCTCTAACCAACTGAGCTACCGAGGCCAGCTGTTGAGCTGTAACCGTAAGTTCATGTATATTTAGGTAATCGGGTGTGTGGGTTGTGATAAGGTGGACTTCAATAATTTGGATTCTTGCACTTCACTTGGTGGAATTAAAATTGGAATGTTAGGGTTTGTAATCCAAGTGAGAATATATACATTTGTATATTCTCACTTGGATTACAAACTATTCTCACTTGGATTACAAAATATATACACAAAATATATACATGTACTATACATTTGTATATTCTCACTTGGATTACAAAATATTCTCACTTGGATTACAAAATATATACATGATTACAAACCCTAACATTCTAATATTAATTCCACAAGTGAAGTGCAAGAATCCAAATTATTAATTTCAAATGCCCCACCGGGGCTAAGGTTCGAGTGGAAATGCCCAACCCCCGGGATGTGCTTTACAGGAAAATGGCTGGGCGAGGGGGATGGACACACTTGGATTTGGCTGATGCATTAAAAGTCCTGTGCTTATTCCAGACTGCTTGTCAAATATTTACTTGCTAGAAGTAGAAATTTACTCTGACCACTGGATGAAGAAGACATTAAATAAGTACTGGTCAATAAACAGAAATGTATTTTATTTCATAGTATTACAATTTTATTTTTATACTATAAAAATAAAATATAAATATGCAGCATAGAATATGCAAATTCGAGGCAAAATTATTGTTGAATCGGTTTATTTATAGGATTTTATAACAAATAGCAACTATAAAAGTTTGTACCTTGTCTTCACCGATCGCTTTATTCTGTTAGCCAATGCTTTTAAATTTACATATTTTAGAATCAGTTCCTTTCCCGGTAACTGCATTTCTAAATGAAATCAGATCAACGTGAGTAGTGAGTGCTGAGCAGGCCGTTTTACTATAAACAAATTTTAGGAATTGATAACAACTTTGAAAATTATATCGTTGCACATTCGGTCACAGTCGGAAAAATGTTCATAGTATGTTGTACCGTCGCTTGCAACTAACGATGAACAGTTGCTCATAAAAACATTTGCGTGATTAGAATCTCCAATGTTTGTCAAGAACAACAACACTTAATTGTTGTTTCCCATGTGTACAATAATAAGTAAAAAAAACTTTGTGTGGTCTGAACGTGTTGGGCTAGAGACCTACTGGAAACCCTTACAGGCTTTTTAATGAGAATAGAGAATGTTTTATCTGCAACTGTTCACCTTTAGTTGCAACCGACGGTATTTGACAGCATAAAATTGCCTGTGGCTGTGATAACTGATATAAATAAAATACAGTCTGGTTATACTGACTTGAGCGTGTCTTGACAAACTCTTTATTGGAAAATTGTGAAGAAACAGTCGAATATAGAGGGTCGAATATCATACTTCAACTCGTATAGCTACAGTAACATTAGTAGATTACTACATAGCGTTGTGAAGACAAGCCTTTTCTTACCTTTCGCTTCACTCAGCAGTCTTTTCCATGCTTCTCTACGCTTTCCCAGGCGAGCTTCTCTTTCCTCAGCAGTCTCCTCGAGCAAACGTTGTCGTCTTCGCTCCCTCTTTTCGCTAGACGTTCGGCTTTCTTGTCATTCCTTGCCGCTCTTCATTTGGCTCCATATCTTTTCAATTGGTATTTGATACCATAATTGTTTTATTAAACTTTTTTATAGAACAAATTGCTTTGAAAGCTGTCAAAGTTTTTTGCAAACGTACAAAATACTGTAGTGTAAAAAGCAAATTATTTTCATGGAGTATCTGTCAGTTGAAGTCGTCATTTGTCATACAACAACAAATTTTAAATTTGACCAATCAGTGTTCGCTATCCATGACAGTCCGCCATATTTTTGAGATCAGTGAGGATGACCACCCACTCAACACCGTTGGTCACTCACGCCCGCGATATTTGATGAACTTTAGACTCCGCTAATGCTTTCGTTTCCCCGGGTGTAAATAGCCGGGGGGAATTAGTACCCTCGCACGGCGCTTCGCGCCGCCGGCTCGGGGATAAAGCTGGATACATAAACAATGATGAACCGAAATCTAGTAGTCTAGTAGTTTTTAAATTTTAAATTGTAAATGCACCTTTTACATGCTGTAACAGAGGTTTTAATAGCCTAAGAATTATAAAAAGATACATTTTATTCGATATTTTCTGTTTTTAAAAGTTTGTAATTACTGAACGTGCCGCCGAGAAACTTAATTGTATCTTTGCTGTTGGGCCACGATCATTGGCCCCAGCGGTCCCAATTTTATCCATCCCTACACGCCATGTTAGCCAATTAAAAATATAACCTTTAGTACGTATACAATGGGATTTGGCAGCCATTAATGGATTATTCCAGCTGTCGACTATTTTTTTATCTAGACAAGAAAGACGAAATTTATCATTATAGCTGAAAAGAACATCCTATAAAATTAGTAAAATTGCAAATTTTGGTTGCGAAATGTTGTAAAATACGGAAAATATATAGCCCTGTGAAATTAGCAAATTTTGAGTATCTTACAGATAGTATTACGCGCGGAACAATGCACCACTTTCGCCTATATTTTCCGTATTTTACAACATTTCGCAACCAAACTTTCAAATTTTACTAATTTTAGGATCTCTTTTGAGCTATAATGATAGATTTCGTCCTTTTTGCCTGGATCAAAAATTAGACGATAGCTGGAATCATGTATTTACTTGGCAGAATGGGATAGTCAGATTGAATGAAATTCTCGTGAGTTTGAGAATATAATTTCTTATATAAATCATTGCGTACATGTAGCTGTTAACCAGAGCATTCAAGACAATGGAAGCAAAGAATCCTAACGTGGTTGCTGGCGAGAAACGCAAGTTCATCATGAGACCACCCCAAGTCTTCAAAATTGGAACGAAGAAAACATCTTTTGCAAACTTTGGCGATATTTGTAAAATGTAAGTATATTCAGAGAATACCAGCTGGCAGAAACAAGATTAACATTTAGTCGATTACTTCGCGGTTGGTTACTGCGTACGTACGCCAGATTTTTTATACTTAAATTCGGGAGGGCTTATGTTCGAAATGGCCTGAACGTTAGTGAATGTGGTTGGCTTATACAGATGGGGCACGGCTTATATTTGGGTGGGCTTATAGTCGGAGGTTTACAGTACATAAAACACGCCAATAATGTTAAAATAAGACAAGAACAGTCTTCTAATTTGTAATAACTCACTTTCTGAGCTGAATTGACTTATCTTATATAAGGAATACCGAATTACTGTGTATGTTGGTTTGGACGAGGTGGTCATGCAGTACATGAATCAGCGCATATGCATGTACGCCTAGCGTACCTATTTTTATGTACAGATATCAATAGTTTGTTGCTAATTTGTAAATTCATGTACGTGTTGTCGCAGATAATAGACCTTTCTTATAATGACGTCAAACGCAATTTTGAGCGACAATTCCCAATGCAAATGATCTAGACAAAAATTTCATCACAGCTCGAAAGAGCATCACAAAATTAGTAATATTCCAAAGTTTCGTTGCGAAATGTTGTAAAATGCGGATAATATAGCCTTGCAAAGTTTGCAATTTTCAGTCATTTTAGATTACAAATGGGAAATAGACAGCCCCAAAGGGTTTGGGGCTGTCAATTTTCCGTTTGTAATCTAAAATGACTGAAAGTTGCAAATTTGGAAAGGCTATATTATCCGCATTTTACAACATTTCGCAACAAAACTTTGGAATATTACTGATTTTGTGATGCTTTTTCAAACTCATGTGATAAAATTTTTGTCTAGACTTGTTTAGATCAAATTTTAGTCTATAGTGCGAATGGTCAATTAAGTCATCAGTAACAAGATGAAGGACTCCAAAGCTGATATCTCCATCATGACCCTACATTTCTGAATATTATGTACATGTTATTTTGTTCTTTTTTCCAGTTTGCACAGACAACCAAAACATTTGCTTGCGTATTTACTTGCTGAATTGGGAACAAGGTGAGTGTTTAGTACGGTATCTCGCGCACTTTCTTTATTGATGATGAATAATATAGATGAAAAAAAATACTCAATTCTGATTGGCTAAGAGCAGTGCAATTATTTTTGAAATTGCACTTTGTGCTGTCCGTCCTATTACCTGCAGTGCAGTTCATGCAGGAAAAGTCAACATGGCGGCCGCAGATAGTAGCAATGTAAATTTTCACATTTGTGCCGACTTTTTGCACACTTTCAATGGAAAATCGTACATGAATATAACAATTTAAGTAAAAAGGAGCACATAAACTGAAAAAGGTTTGCTAACAAGCAATGAAAACAATCAGGGCTGTAGTCAGACCGATAATTGGGGGGGGGGGCATATTCATATATTCGTGTTCTGCCCGACGGATTTCTTTTGAAAGCGATTGTTTTTACAGTATGTGAACATGAATATAATGAATATGCACCCCAATTATCGCGTCTAGCTACGGCCCTGAAAACAATGCTTTTTAGCATGCTTTTAAGCCATTTAAAAATGGCATACGTGAGTGCACAGGTGTTATCGATATGGTTTCTCGTGCAATTTGGAAAAACATAACACTCGTGAGTTTTTCAAAGACCTCGATTTTGATCGTCTTTGAACAACTCACTCGTGCATGTTTTTTCAAAAGTGCGCTCGAAACCGTCCAATATATTACCTATACTAAAACACACTCAAAGGGGTAGAATCAATGTGACTTGTGGGGCAAATCCGATTCCTGAGGGGCAATTTCCCTGCCAGTTATAGTAGTAAAAGCGGCGGGCCAAAATGACCGGTTATGCAAAAGTTTGGCCGGACAACTGCTCGTTTTGGCCGGACATTGTCCGTTGACCGGCCGTTATTTTGCGCCCTATTGGTGAATGCAGAATCAAAGGGAGTATAAATTGTATTCCCTTTCCATGTGCATTCCAGTACGCCGTAGTTGTGTAAAAAACTGCTACGTTTTTACATCAATTGACCATTTTACAATTGTTTATTTTTTTTTGATTCGGTGAAAAATGTCTAGGTCTTGTATTTTACAAGAACATGACCATAACACCATCACAGGTGACTGCTAATTATACATGATATAACTTCACTCCCCATGTTTGCAAAGACTGTATTTTCTTATTTCCCAAATGTGGTTTGCGTAGTAGCTCCTAGTGAATAAATATTTCGAGAATAAGAAAATATAGTCTTGCATGGGAGTGAAGTTATACGATACATAATCAGCAGTTGATCTGTGAGGTGTGTGGTCATTTTCTTGTAAAATATTACATGCAGACATAGACATTTTTCACTCCCCGATCACCACCCTTAAGAGCAACCATTCTGAACACCATAAGAACTTCAAAAAAATATTTAGCTTCAACGATTTAGTAGATAGGACCATGTCGTATAGTGCCGTTTCTGGGTGTGGTCATTTTTGGACATTTCGTCCCGGCTTCAGGTTTTGGTCAATTTGCCCTAAAACAGTTGAGATTATCTGTGAAATACATGCAAACTCATATACAGGTCCTCTGCTACTCATAGGGGACCTGCATATGCACACACACATCCACTGGTGAGACTTTAAATTTCCTAACATTCTGTTTCAGTGGCTCTATCGACAGTAACAATCAACTTATCATCAAAGGACGTTTTCAACAGAAACAAATTGAGAGTGTTCTAAGAAGATATATCAGTAAGTGATATATACTTTATTATTTGTGATCCCGGTGGATTATTTTTAAATCCTAGTAATATAGATGAAAAATCACCCAATTCTGATTGGCTAAGAGCAATGCAATTATTGTTGTAATTGCACTCTGTGTAATTACTGTAGAGCCTGGAAGCGAGGTAAGAAAATTCAACATGGCGGCAATGTCAATTTCCACTTTTTAAGGACTTCTTGTACACTTTCAATTGAAAAGACTGAAAAGGTTTGCTAAGGGACTGGTCATTAGTGAGCTTAAGCAAGTGACGTTTTTGACAACACGAACGGCATGAGTAACGTCAGAAGACTGGGTCAAGGGCTGTGATTGGTGAAAAACGTCAACTTTACTTGCGGTCGACGTCCGTGTTGTCAAAAACGCCACTTGCTTAAGCTCGCTAATATTTATGGCAGGGGGCGGCACCGGAGAGAAAAGGGTTGGGTGCTGTTGGATTCTATAATTAAATCAGCGATTCATCGTCACAAAGGCTCTCGAGAATCGACAAGCTTGAAGTTGGATCTGATCACTTTTTGCGATTAAAAATGGAACAAGAACAGACTGTTTATTGTTTACTTGAAGGAAGAGATGTTTTTTGTCGTTATGCCAATGGGGACTGCTTGTCGTAAAGTGTTGGAATAGCAACATTTACCATTGGGGTAAACTATAGTAACCTTTGCTTGAGTTTCATTAATTTCAAACAGATTTGATACGTTTATATGTTCCTCAAGAAAATTATCTTTTGGTTGATGTTGAGAATCGTCTATTTATTATATAAAGTATAGCGCTTTATAGAGATTTCGAGCACTGATAAAAGTGATAATCTCACATGTGAGATTATTCATGATAATCTCACATGTGAAAATTATCGCTTTTCAATTATCACTTTTCTGTAAAAAGTATCGCTTTTCAGACTGTCCGTTATATAATAAACAGAAAAATACATGGATGCTTGGAAATACCAGATTTATTTCTCGTGTTGAACATGATATCTCACTCGTTCGCTGCGCTCACTCGTGAGATATCATGTTCAACACTCGAAATAAATCTGGTATTTCCGCGCACCCATGTATTATTCTCTATATCTATGAACTTTTAGCACCTGAAACGAGCCAAATAATGGCATTAAAAATCAAGGACTATATAATTTCGTCGCTGTTATTGGGCCATCAACAGTGGGCCTAGCTTGCCAAGTTGAGTTGCCCGTAGCCGAAGGGTACGCCTGAGCCGGCGTCTTCGTATATTAGGGTTGATAGTTGCTGATCATGATAGTGTTTATTGGTTGTATTTATATGGTCCAGACCTCCTGTATCTCTATTTACTTCTACAAGAACCTTCCCGCTTCTGTAATTTGTTTTGTATTTATTTGTTCTATTTTCTGTAGCGATTACCGCTTTATCGGCACATATATCGCGTTAGGATCCGGTAGAATTTCGCGTTCCTTCCTTTATATACGTCAATTTGTAGCAATGGTTACACCTTTCGTTAGATTCTTTGCATAAAAGTTGCGAAACTTAGATCTTATAGCGATATTTGCTGATAAATCTGTTTTAAACCTCCGCCTAGTGTGTTCATACTATACAAATTTAAAATTACCGAATACAATCATTTGACGTACTAAAATGAAAATTTCACAACTTTTATGCAAAGAATCTAACGAAAGGTTATCCTTTGCTACAAATTGACGTATATAAACGAAAGAAAGGGGAATTCTACCGCGATATTTGCCGACAAAAATCCTACAGAAAATAGAACAAATTACAGAAATACAAAACAAGTTGCGGAAGTGGGAAGGTTCTTGTATTTTGACTGTAAATATATATACCGCTTGCTAATCATCGCAGGCACATTTGCAGATAACTGAGTTATCTGCTAGCAGATAACTGAATTTTTTGTAGGTTGCGTGATTGCGCGATTTAACTGTAAGCTCTTAGCCAATCAAATTGCTTTTACCAACTACAATGTATAATAATTCTTTTTATTTTGCAGAGGAATATGTCACATGCCATACATGCAGATCTCCTGACACGATTTTACAGAAAGAGACAAGGTTGTATTTCTTACAATGTGAAACTTGTGGCTCGAGATGTTCTGTCGCCAGCATTAAATCTGGTTTCCAGGCTTTCACAGGACGACGTGCCGCATTAAAAAGCAAACAACAGTAAATATATATGTACCATATCCGTATGGGATCTACATGGAATTCTTGAATTAATGAAAGAGTACGTCAAGAGAGCAAGTATATAGTCGAGAGCAAGTATATAGTCGACTCAGTGAACTCTATAAAAACTGAAACGATAAGATGGCGGAAATTGAAGCCCATGTCTATAGGTATGTCCTATAAGCCCTTAGCGGGAATTCACTGAATTCAGTGGGGAAAATCGGCATTATTTCGGTTTTGCTGTGGCCGTAAGAGCAATTGGTCTTTCAGAAAAAGCAAATTTTAGAACACTTCGTAAAAAACAAAGTTATCGATCTGACGAGCGAAAAACAAGTTCAGAAAAGAAACCATGGCGAAATCAGCAAACGTTTGCCTTTCTGGATTATCTTTTGGGTATTTGAACTATACACAGAATAATATGTACTGCAGTTGCATAAATCGTACCTTTTCATTTAGTTTTTAGCTTTTAATTGGGTATTTACCACTACAAATGAGCATCTACGTGCAAAAATTGAAAGACATGGATAGTCCTTTTTCAGCTCCCGCGAAGCCCACGCGAAATACACGCGTGTTTTCTACCTACAAGAGATCACTATTGGTTTCACCCAATCACAGGGCATTTTATGTTGTCGTTCCAGTATATTTATAGAGTTCTGCACTGAGTCCACCTTGTTGTTTTTGGTTTTAAGGCCTGGACAAACTACGAATTGTTGCAGAAACATTTGTTTCCTACAAGAAATTCAGGGGGTTTGGGGAATTAAAGTCTTTTCAACATTTCAACATGCAATGTTTCCTAGTTTGATTTTGGCTTTCTTCCCACATTTTTTCAGTTATATTTAATTACATATAAATTTCACCGAAACCAGGAATATTTTAAAAAACCAAATTGTTTTGTTTGTATACTATTATAATATTGTATTAGAATAAGGTTGAATTTTTTAGTTGATGTGTCAAGTTCTGCAACACCTCAGGCCAATCCAATTTAGACTTTAGCTCCCCGTCTCTAAGAAGTGGCCCGTGGTTTTTGCATTATTGATATGGACCTTGTTTATGTTATTTGACGTTTTCGAAAATATGTCCATTCTATTACTTGTTTTGTAGTAAGTTTTATGAGAATATACGAGAATGACTTTATGACTCGTCGCTTGAAGATGTTAGGATTCCGACGTTTTTCATTTGCAAAAGCAGCAAGCATGCTGTTAACCGGTAAATGCGTATCATAGTTGAAATTACGAGTATTTTACAATGGACTTTCCTATGTTCAGATGATGACATCATGACAGAATTATTAATAGTGTTATTTTTTGGATTCTCCATAATGACTAAAGGCGGATTTCCAGTCCTTGCACGAAGCTCCTCGCAGCTCGCTGCGAGTGCTTGCATCTAATTAAAATGAACTGTTTAGCATTGTGATTGATGAAAGTGCTCATGCATGGACTCGCAGCGAGCTGCGAGGAGCTTCGTGCGAGGACTGGGAATCCACCTTCATGCAGTGATAATGGCCGACCACATGCGCTCGTGAAGAGAGGCCGGATGGGGAACTAAAATCTCATTTGGAGTGGCCTTAATGTGTGTGTATTACTTGGAAATCACTATTCTTCCTATTGTATTTTTGTAGAAGTAATTCGGCATAATTAAATAATAAACTTCAGTCTCTGCATGGGACTATGGAAATAAGCAATTTTTTAAGGCTGGTTTACACTTGGCAATTTTTGCTGCGATTTTCTTTTTCTGACGCATGTGAACGAGTGGATGAATAATGAATGTTCAGATGAAGGTACTACAAACATTCCGCCAAAATTTTGAACTTCAACGATCAATTCCTTTTGAAAAGATCAAAATTGCTGATATCAGCGTTATTTTGGAGCGCTCTCAAAAATCTGTTCTAGACAAAATTGAGGTAAAATGCTTGGTAAAAATCAAAACGGGACCACTTAACTGCTATACAGGTGTATGTACCACAGAATACCGCAAAAATTTACATGTTCCATATCTTTTGTCTAATGTATATAATATGGTTCCTTAATATTTTTTAGTATAGTCTAACGATATATTTTTTCTTCCTGGGGGTTTTGGGGCAAGATTTCATAGACTTAATTATTTTTTTTAAATGAATATTCTGTGGAAAAATTCCAATGTACCACAGAATACCAGTGCAGAGGTAAGTAAGCAACCGTTTATCGAATTGTACCAGGATTTGGTGTGTCATGTTGTATGATAATACTGTGGGATATTGCTAACTTAATTTAGTGAAAGTTAAACATTAAAATCAGTAAAGAATACCAGTGGTATAACCAAAGAATACCAGGTTTATCAATAATTTTGAAAAATTCAGTTTTTCAATGGTAAAATTGATTACACTGTGTGATTCCAGTGTAGTAATAATGTTGTGTTGCATAGAAAAAGTATTGATCAACATAAATTATGCTGGTTTGCGAACTTATTTTTAAACATTTGGATTTTACAGGCATTATGTGAAAAAAAAGTACCAAAAATATAGAATGTTACTTCTTGTTAATCCTGATTATTTTTAAGATTTTTTAAGAAAATATACATTTTTTGTTTTTATATGTCAGTTAAGACTAAAACTAATATTTAATCACTAAAATAAAGTTCATAGCATATTTCCTTCAAATTTTATATAAGAAATAAATAAGACTGGTATTCTGTGGTACCATGGTATTCTGTGGTACATACACCTGTAAATAAAGAAATTAATTTTTTTCTCAAAATTTCTTCGGACTGCTAATAACATGTACCACATCATTGCACAAAAGTGTACTCCACGGCAAAAAACTGCCCCTTCTAATGGTCGACCCCTTATACATTTTAGATATGTGTTCAGCTGTGGAGAAGCGACGCAGCGGTTGTTCCATGAGCAGAAACTCAAACTTGGTAAAATAAACAATTTGTTCTTAACTCAACTAACTTGGCAGTGTATTGGCGGCCTGCCAGGGTTACTCCTGACGCTGCGAGAAGCATGCAAACAGTCATTAAGTATTCATGGGCCTCCTGGCTTGTCGGACTTCCTAACAGCCAGTCAGTGTTTCATGTCAATGCATAATGTGGACCTAAAGTGCTCGGAGTATGATGGTGAAAGCGATGGCGTTTATAAAGATGAAAACATTATTGTGAAGCCAATACCAATTAAAGGTAATCATTTCATTTCTGATATACAGTGGTTCAACCACGATAATATACTGCCTAAGTTACTTTGAATTTGTACTTGAGTAAAAGTAGTCAAAGTATAAATTGACAACTTGCATGTTAGACTAATTTTTGATCTAGGCAAAAAAAAAGTAAATTCCTATAACAAACTTATTAAAATTAGTATAACTGCAAAATTTGGTTACAAAATCTTGAAAATATAGCCTTGCGAAGTTTGTATATTTTGTATATGTTTGTATTACGTGCAGAAATTGTTACCACTTTTAAGCTGAAAATGGTAACAATTTCCGCACATAATACAAGCATATACAAAACTCGCACATTCATTTCGCAACCAAATTTTTCAATTTTACTAATTTTATTATGTTCTTTTTAGCTGTGGTGTTTGATTCTCTTCTCATTACTTAATCAGATTACAATTTAGTCTAACATACAAGTTGTCCATCAACAATAAAACGACTCGAGTAAGAGTAAAAAGTACTAGAAGCAAAACATACTTAAGTAAAAAGCATCCTTACAAAAATACTTGAAGTAAAAAGTAACAGTACTATTGTGTGTAGTATTAACAGGGTAGCTGTATTAATTAACCAGGTATCTTTATAAGAAAATGTGTAGTATTGTCTTGGTGTTTTCTGAGGACAAAAATAGGTGGCGATCAGGGGCGTAGCTAGAGGGGGGTTGCGGAGGGGTGTAACACCCCCCATTCATCATAGATTTGTCAAATGTGTGCTAGCCTCGGCAAATGTCTGCTAGAATCGGCAAATGTCTGCTAGAATCGGTAAATAGTTTTCGGATTTATCGGAAAATTGTTTTTGTGGTGAGGGAAAATATTTTAGTTGCTCGGAATTAATAGTTATGGTATGTAGGGAAAAATTTTTCTATTTTAGGAAAAATTATGATATGTCGGGAAAATTTTTGTATGTCCAGAAAAAATTGGATATATTCTGAAAATTTTTTGTATGCCTGGAAAAAATTTTGCAACCTTCCCCCTTGCTCGACAACAATTTCGGGAAAAGAAATATTAATTAGCGATTGTAGTGACTGGGCAAAATTTGCCTTGATACCTCGGCAAAATTAACTTACACCCCCCAAGAGGTCTACCACTCTAGCGACGCCCCCTGGTGGCCATAATAAAGAGGTGACCATATTTACGGGGTGCCATAAGGTGAGGTTCCACTGTAATCTTAAGCGAGATAAATGTCAACTATGTGAAAAATATAAGCAGAATTCGTCAGAAGGTCGGGAAGAAGTCTCAATCTACAACTGTTTCATTTCACCTATGTAATTGTTGGATTTTCAATTTTATTTTTCAGGACAAACCAAAGATAACTTTTCCTACAACTCTAAAATAACTGAAATATTTGATGACGAAGGTGGCACTTCATACGATATCGATTATTCTCAGCCTAAGTCGAATATCGATAAAAACCGTGGCAAATCTAAATCAGAGCACTGTGTAAATACCAAAAGTCCAAAGCGTTTTAAGCTGGATGTCGAACCAAGAACCGTGGTCAACTATATTTGTGAGCTGGTAGCAGTTCCAGGGAAAATGAATGTCAAGAAAGCTTTTGAGTTGGGCGTTCCCAGTGGTCCTCTCTTGGGAAAATTGCAGAAAGGGAAAGATGTCACTTTAGAAAATGGAGCTGTGGTAAGGATGTAGAAAATGTAGGGCTTTCAGAATTATTCGGAGTAGCTACAGTAGCTGTGTCAATAAAGTAGGCGGCTGTGGGGAGGGGTCTATAGCATAGATATCTTATATACACTAGATAGTGCATCTAATTATTCTGCAATTCAAAAATTGAAGCCGTGATTGCAGTCTCAGGTCGTTCCCATGAAATGAGAAGATTCGCATGTTTTCTATTTCTTAAGCAGGAAACTTAAACATTAAGTTAAACCTATTCCAAATACATTTTTAAACTATTCAAATGATGAAAGTTATTGTTGTTTTTAAGCGTTTATTAGCAAGTGGGAACGACCAACATGGCCGCCATCTATTCAAATGGGGATAACCGCTGGAATATTCTTGGCTTCAATTTTACTAAAAGAGATGCGCTATCTAGTGTATATAAGATATCTATGGTCTATAGGGAGTCTTCCGATATTATTCCGTCGATATTCGACGTCATAAACACGATCAACTTTGGTGTTTATGACGTCGATATTCGACGTCATAAACACAAACAAGTTTGGTGTTTATGACGTCGATATTCGACGTCATAAACACGATCAACTTTGGTGTTTATGACGTCGATATTCGACGTCATAAACACGATCAAC